TTAAGTAGTTTTCATCAGTATTTTTTTTACCTCTATTAAATCTTTCTTTCACTGTTCTTTTTCACTTCTTCTGCTTTCACTCTTAATTGTTTTTTAAAATTATTTTTGGATCCACATAAATCATCAGCATTTCTATATATTACCAACAAAGACCAATAGCAAGACATACAAAGAGAAATTCCATTTAAAATTACTTTAGACATCATAAAATATTTAGCAGTGTACCTAACAAAACAAACCCAGGAACAATATGAAAATAATTACAAAACACTTTTCACACAAATAAAGTGAGATCTCAATAATTAGGGAAAAAAATCAGTTGCTCACTGGTAGGCCGAGCTAATATAATAAAAATGACAATTCCACCTAAGCTAATTTAGTTATTCAGTGCCATACCAATCAAAATACTATATATATATAATATATTTTATAGAGCTAGAGAAAGTAAAATTCAGTTGGAATAACAAAAGTTCTAGAATATCAAGGAAAGTAGTGAAAAGAAATGCAGGGGAAGGAAGCCTAGCCATACCAGATCTTAAATAGCATTATAAAGCAGCAATCATCAAAACTGCTTGGTACTGGCTAAGATATAAAGTGGTGGATCAGTGGAATAGGTTAGGTACGCAGGACACAGTAGGCAATGATTTTAGTAATCTACTACTTGATAAACACAATGATCCCAGCTTCTGGGATAACAACTCACTATTTGACAAAAACTGCTAGAAAAACTGGAAAAGAATATGGCAGAAACTAGTCTTAGACCAAAATGTACCATAAGAAAGTCAAAATGGATTCACAATTTAGGTATAAAGACTGATACTACAAGCAAACTGGGAGAGCAAGGAATAGTTTACCTGTCAGATTTATGGAGAACAGAAGAATTCATGACCAAACAGGAGATAGAGAACATTATGAACTGCAAAATGGTTAAATTTCATTACATTCAACTGAAAAGTTTTTTGCACAGACAAAGCCAATGCAACCAAGATTAGGAGGGAAGCAGGAAACTGGGAAAGAATTTTTAAAAGCAGTGTCTTTGATAAGGACCTAATTTTTAAAATATAGAGAGAACTAAGTCAAATTTACAAGAATACAAGTCATTCCCCAAGTGATAAGTGGTGAAACCTGACATGAACAGGCAGTTCTCAGATGAATAAATTAAAGCCATCTATAGTTACATGAAAAAGTGCTCTAAATCATTGTTGATTAGAGAAATGCAAATCAAAACAACTCTGAGGTAGCATATCACATCTATCAGATTAGTCAACATGATAAAACAGGAAAATGATAAATGTTGGAGAAGATGTGATGCTTTGTTGATGGAGTTGTGAAATGATCCAACCATTTTGGAGAGCAATTTGGAACTATGCCCAAAAGGCTATCAAAATGTGCATACTCTTTGACCCAGCAATAGCACTTCTAGTGCTGTATCCCAAAGAGATTGTACAAATGGGAAAAGGACCCACATGTACAAAAATATTTCTAGCAGTTTTTTTTTTATGGTGGCAAATAATTGGAAATTAAGGGGATGCACATCAATTGGATAATGACTGAATAAGTTGTGGTATATGAATATAATAGAATACTATTTTGCTATAAGAAATGATGAGCAAGTGGACTTCAGAAAAACCTGGATAGACTTCTATGGGCTGATGCTGAGTGAAATGAGCAGAACCAGGAGAACATTGTACACAGTAACAGCCACATTGTGCTATTGACTAACTTTGAGAGACTTAGCCATTCTCAGCAATGCAAGGGTCTAAGACATCTCCAAAAGTCTCATGCTGGAAAATGCTATCCACATCCAAAGAAAGAACTATGGAGTTTGAATGCAGATTGTAGCATATTATTTGCCAATTTTTTCCTTCTTTTTGGTTTTGTTTTCTCTTTCTTGTGGTTCCCTCTATCAGTTCTAATTGTTCCTTACATGACTAATGTGAAAATATGTTTAATAGGAATGCATATGTACAGCCTATATCAGATTATATGCTGTCTTGAGGAGAGAGGGGGATAAAAATTAAAAACTGAAAAGCTTATAGTAGTGGTTGTAGATAAATCAAAATAAATTAATAAAAAATCATTTTTGGGCGCACTTTTATCTTGTTCTTTAGTTCTTCTAGGAATTCTTGTTCATCTTATGGCCAATATTCCCTTTTTCTTTGAGGCTTTGCTTAAAGATGTTTTCAAGTCGTCGTCTTCTTTCTGTCTTGAGCTTCCCTGTTAGCACAGTAGCTCTTTACTGTCAGGTTCATTTTTTGTTCACTGATTCTTCCAGCCTGTTTCTTGACTATGAACTTTATGTTGATGTTGGGCTGTGCTCACCTCTAGGCTTTCTCAGTTCAGACTGCAAGTTTTCAGTGCTTCCAAAGTAGTATGATCTGTTCACTGCTCTCCTTGTCTGAGCTGTGCAAGTTCCTGACCCAGCTTTGGGTCTACTGGCTTGTGGGTGGTTGAGATTCTGTGGAATGTTACTGGACTCAGTCCCTGTTAGGCCACTTTGAGAATCTGTGGGTTCAGAGGTACTGAGCTTATTGACTCTTCTTGTGTCTGGGTCTCCTACCTCAAGTATCCCACTGCAAGCTCACATGCAGGACTAAAGGATAGCACTGAGCACCATGCTGTGCTCTGGGACTCAGTCCCCACAGCTCTGTTTGTAAAACATTCCTGTGTCAGTGCTCAGCTACGGCAACATTGCTCACTGGCTCACTCATGACTGGTCCTCTCTGCCCTACGTCTGTGGACCAGAGATGCCAGCTGGCCCCATTCCTGTTCCCAGCACTAGTATAGGGTCCCCTGGGACCTGCTCCTTCCCAGAGGTTCAGTCCCAGCCCTTTTACCATCCTTGGGCACTGAAAAGCTTTCCACTGACCTGACTGCCATTATGCTGGGCTCCTGGCCAGCCCCCAACCCAGTGTCCATAGCCCTCTCTTACTTCTTATGCTCTCTTGGGCTGGAAACATGACTCACAGTGACTTTGTCTTAGGTTTTCTGGTCAGAATGCAGTCTGGTACATTTTCTAGATTGTTAGAGAGGAGTTGAGCTGGGCTCTTTGCTATCTTGGCTCTGCCCCGTGTATATAAAAAGCAAGGTATGGTTGGGGAGAATTCTGCATGCTTGGCCTCCTTTGCACCTCTTTGAGAGGTCACTGACCCAGCCTTTTGCCCTGAGCTCTCTTAGCTTATTTGCCATTTCAACCTTCATAATCCTGGCCACCCCAGGTCAGGCCCTCATCACTCTCTCCTAGGTCACTGCAGCAGACTCCTGAGTGGACTCCCTGCCTCCAGTCTATTCTTCACTCTGTTTCCAAAGGAACTTTCATGAAGCACAGGGAAGACCAGGTGACTTCCTCCTCAGCCAACTCCAGGGGCTCTCCTTTGACTCCAGAGTAAAATTGCCCTACTCTGTCTTTCCTGCCTTAGCCTCACTGGGACTCAGTCCTCCTTCCACACTCAGTGACCCTGCCAAAATCGCTGCCCCCATGCTGTGAATTGAGTCAGCCTTCCCTTTCCACTTCCAGTTCTAAGCCCCTTCCAGTTCTAAGCCCCTGCACCCAAGCTGGTACCCTTCCTTCCAATCCACACATATTTATTAAGCACTTACTATGTGCCAGGTCTTAGCCTAGGGCATATGAGTACAAAGAATAAAACAATTCCTGTTGGCAGGGAACTTACTTTCTAATGGGGAAGACCAAAAATGCATGCAAAAGTGTTCACAGCATCAATGTAAAATGAAGAAATACGTACCCACAAGTTTAAGACCAGGTGGTTTGGAATGTTCCTGTGTTCTCCATCAGGGCAGAAGTTCCAGTGGGTACAAAGGTTTCTTTCTTCATCCTGGTGTTGCCAGAACTCAGCCCTGTGCCTGGCACAGAGTAGGTGCTTAATAGATGTTGGAGTCTCTAATATCCCATGTTCCTTGTTTCTCCTCCTAAGAGACTTTTCATCTTTGTGTGTTTTCCTTTTTGTTTTCAAGGCCGAACAGCTTGTCCTGTCCAGGGTTCATGCCCTAAGAAGGTGACTGAAGACGCTGGCTTCCGAATACTCTAGCCTTTGACTGAAGGAGGCCACCAAGCTGGATGACCTGGAGCTATGGCAAAGAGCTAGTGGGAGTGGAGTTGGGAAAGGCCTGAACCACAAAGATATTTTGACTTTCCTGTAGGGCCCTGTGAGCCAATGGGGAGCCAACCTGGAGGACTTCTGAAGGGACACCACTGCCCACATCAAGGTGAGGAGAAAGCAGAATTTGCCCATTTATTCTCCTGAGAGGACCAGGTCACCAGAACCAGTGTCTCTTAGTTTGATCTCACAGGGCCCATGGTGGGGGCAGGCAAGTCTTGAGGTGAAGCAGTACTCTGGGATTGCCAGAACCTGCCAAGTTTTCTGGGTTTTGTCGAATGCCTGTATCCTTCTCTGTGTTCCCCAGGAAGCTCTGCCCACCCTCAAGGAAAAACATCAGCTAGTCTTTATCATATGCTAAAGAACATTCCTTGGGCATGCCAGGTAATACAAAAACTCAGATGCTTCTGGAAGCAGAGACAGTGGGGGTGGGTATCTTGGGAAGGTTGCTTTTGGCTGAATCAGCATCCTTGAAAGGTTGATGCTGCTCTCAGGGGTCCTGGCACTTGCCTACAGGGTTCTGGCTGGATTCCATACATGTCTGGGAGCATTTCAGATTGACATATTCTGCTCTCGCTGAGAGATGGCCACTTGCTAACAGAGCTGCCTAATGATCCTGGACCCCCTTGTGTGAAGGATGAGTATGGAGTTTACTGACCTCAAGCAACCTAGGCCCCCTCTTGCAGCTCCTCTCTGGAAGTGCTCCCATGTGCCTAGCACATACATGCAGGAAGACTAGGGAGGGATAAGACTGTCAATGAGAAGAATTTAAGAACTGAGTTGGAAACTCTCTTCAAGGGACTGAGAAATGACCTCACCAACTGAGCTTGGGTCTTTCTCAGATGCCTCTTCTTGGAGGGATGGTAGGAAAGAAGCCCAGTCTCTGAAAGGTCTAGTATGGATGAAAGGTCAAGATTTCTGGAGCCCAGCAGTTTGCAGATACTCAGATCCTCCCCAGCAGACAGAGGGCCCAGCCTGAGGAGATCATGAATCCCCAGAGTACAGCGTTGGTGTTTTCATCAGTCTCATTGTGTCCACACTTTCCTTACAGGAGCAGGAAAGCAGGGTGCTCTAGCAGATGTCTGAGTTGCAGAGGTAAGGCCCAAAACTGACTTGCAAAGGGAAGAAGAGGGAAGGAGGGCTAGAAAGCTAGATCAGTGAAACCACAACTCAGATTCTCTAGGGTGGGTCAGTGGAGCCAGAACACTTGGGTTAGCGTGCAAATATGATCAATCTGAGTTGGAGTGGACCTCAGAGAACAGATGAGGGTACCGAGGCCTCGGAGGGAAATGACCTGCCCAGGGTCTCGCACAGAGTAAATGTGAGTGAAGACTTGCACCCAGGTCTCTGGCTCTGTTCTTTCCATTGGGTACTGGTTTTCTTTAAACAAGCCTATTCCATTTCCTGTCCTCTGTTTGACTCCTTCCTCCAGCGACTGTTCCAAAGTTGACCTTAACCTTTCATTTTTGTCACTGTCTAGTGTGTCCCATGAAGCCCTCTGTGAAAAGAGACCAAAAGGGCTAAATGAAGATTCTCAGGCTGAGGGGTGGCCCTGGGGCAAGTCACCTATGATAAAGCTGGGGAGTCCAATCAGACCTTCCACTTTCACATATGGAGGGGTGGTCTAACAGCAATTGCCCAGTGACCCAGGCAGGCTGATGTTCTCAAAGGCCAGATCACAGGCAATGGGGACGTCACTGCTTTACAAATGGCTGCAGGGACTCCAGAGAGCTGAACGATAACACTGTGGCTTAATTCAGCCACTGTTCTTTGAAGGAAGTGTGAGACAGAAGGACTCCAGGGTCAGGTGTCCACCAAGGGATCTGAGGCCTTCCTTACTGCATTCTCCTCTTCCCACAGGGCGACAACACAGTCTCATATCAGAGGGTAGAACTTCACATCTTGAGCAACTACGGTCACCCTGAGTATACCTGCATTTACTCATCTGGGTCCATGGGAAGTATGCCAATTAGCCCCTCCCCCGAGTCTCTATATTCCTTCCCTCTTCATCCACCTCCCCTCTACCAGCAAGCAGCTCCCCGACCTTCTCCTCCCTTCCCTATGGTTAATCTCTTTTGGACACTATGGCCTCTGGAAAAGAGACAGAAGGTGGGAGCCAACCTCCATGGATCAATCTTGCCCCACTGGACCCTCACTGATATGGAGGAGAGACCACCAGCTGAGCAACTTGTGTTTCATTCCCTATCCACCTTTCTTTTTTGGATTTTTGGTGAGGCAGTCAGGGTTAAGTGACTGGCCCAGGGTTACACAGCTAGCAAGTGTCAAATGTCTGAGACCAGATTTGAACTCAGGTCTTCCTGATGCCAAGGCTGGAGCTCTATCTACTGTAGCATCTAGCTGCCCCCTCCACTCCCCATCCTCTTGAGGGTCAGGCAGTCAACCTCCCTGCCAGGCTCTGCTCACCCCCAAGAGTTGTGTATATGACTATGTATTATATGTTGGGTGGGTGTGTAGGGAATAGTGAAGGCCTTGCTATGCTCAGCAGAAGTCCCACAGAACCACAGCTCTAGAAAAAGGAATTTGGTGTATTAAGGGCATGACAAATTGGACAGCTGCAAAGGGTGCCTAGTAGCCAGTCTGTCATTAGCCTGTTCCACAAGGTGGTAATGCCCCTCTCCATGGTACCTTTCATGGTTCTTTTCACCATTGGGCATGATGGGTGCAATCTTGACCTTGACAATGAAGAAATCAGGAAGAATGGACCTTGTCCCATTCAATCCCAGTTCACACTCCCCACAGACACCTTCTCACACTCTTGTGGCACTTAGGACAGCTCACTGGGCAGCTCAGGCCAAGTGCAGGACAAAAAACCTCAGTGGTGTTGGCTGACAAGCCCTCTGGGCTCCTGAATGACAGCAGTGATGACTGGAAACTTACCTGTTTGCTGGAGTCTGGCATCATCTCCAAGAGGTTGTCCACAGCCACCTGAAGACTCAGAATCAGAGCAATGGTCAGCATCTATCCCTGAGGCCTGCTCATGGATCTTCAGCCATTAGGACTCAAAGCACTCCCACAGTGCTTGGGGGGAAGCAGCTGCTGCTGCCAGAACATGGGGGCCTTGGAGGTTGGCTGCCAGAGCAAAGGCTTTCTTCAAAAGGAATCTTGGCTGGATGGAGAAAGTCCAGAACCAAAAAACATCACTTAGTTCAGTTCTCTGCAGGACATGGAATCAAACAAGCCAACATAGTCTTTGCTAGATAGTTTAAAGAGAGAACTGTTTTTATTACTGTTGTTGTTGTTGTTTCAGTGTTAAAAAGGAAACAGTCTTGCACAAACATTTCTATGTGCTGGGCTGAGTGCACCTCCTAGCACTCTCCCCCCAGCTCCCTGCTCCCTCCTGGTCCCCCCAAGCTCACAGGAGGCCTCTGAAGATGGGTCTTGTTGGTCACTAATTCCCACAAGTGAGCCACACCCCACCCACATGCCCCATCCAACACTTAGTGGGATGTCTAGGAACTCACGTGACCATCTCTCCAACACTGGACCAGAGTGGCGATGTTCAGTACGGTTGAAGCAATGCCATGTTCAGAATCTTGTCATGCCATGTTGATGTTGCTTTTTTCAGACCTCAGTGAACAGGTGCACAGGAGCCAGCCCTGTGGACTCATGATCAACTGATTCTGAATTCTGACAGTTTCTCAAGCGTCATCAACAGAGCTCTCCCAGAACAGCTATTTGGGTCATATAATGACCTTGCACCTCCAAGCCCAGTGCTGACACCAAGGGAAGACAATGTGAATGAAGAATGTTTAAAGGGTGAGGGTGAAAGGGGAGTGCATGGCGGATGGAGGTAAACAACCAAAATGCTAGCAAGGGAGAGAAGGACTAGAAAGAGGCCAGGGCTGAAGAAGGACCTAGTGATGGATTGGGTGACATCTTCATGTAGGCAGACTTCACTTTCCCATCTAACCTGGGAAGGCCCAGAGCAAGAGCAGGCCCTGCTCAGAGGTGGGACAATAATAGCTGCTGGGTAGAAAGTGGAGACAAGGGAAGCAAAGAAACTTCCAGATCAGTTTTTGTCTGCGTGGTTTTCAGCCAGGCCATATTGCATTTATTTCATGAAAAGCTTTAGTCTACCATGAATGCTATAAAAATTAAGGGTGGCCCTAACAACTAATATCAGAGTAAACCTTGGGATCACAGAGACTTTCCAAAGGACAAGAGCGAATTTCTGCCCTAGTACATTTACTATGGCAAATTGATTTACATTAGAAATGATTTTTCTTCCTATAATTAAAGCCAGCATCATTACCTCCTGGCTTCAGGGGATACTCTAAAGGAACCAAAAAGACAATAACAAACCAGAGTCCTAAAATGAACACAGACTCCACTCCAGTTCCTGCCGAGGCCCTTACCTATCTACCACACATGCAAAAACCAGGACCCTTGTTTCATAGTCACATGTTGGAGAAGACAAAATCACCTCTCAAGCCCCCATTTTCAGCCCAGAGAACTGCCCTGGCAAGGCTAACTGCCTCTTCCTGCTATTTGGCCCAAGCATTTTGGGTCTCAGAGAGGGCAGAGACTGCATGCCTACTATTGTACTGTGGCTTGCCAGCGTGGAAGCCAGAAGGCTGATTTTCAGTGGCCTGCAACTACTACAGACTTCCTGGTGTAGGTCATGTACAGCCACCAGATAGCTTCCCTGAAAAAATAATAAATTAAAAATTAAATTGCTGAGATTATTTTTTTTCTCTCTAGCCAGTTCTATGGCATCTGGCCTTCTGTTATTGGAACCCTGAAGGCTGCTAGGTACCATCTACTGGAATATTCCGAGCGCACAAAGTTCTGCCAAGCCAGGCAACCAAGCCAGAGCCTTAGAGGATGATGGCACCTGAGGTAAATGCAGGGTTGCCTCATTCTTTCTAGATATTGTCCACAGTGAGCCCTACAACCCAGAAAGTCTGCCAGAAGGCCCAAGACCTTAGAACAGAGGCTCTGTTTGGCTCTACCTGAGCTTCCAATGGCAAAAGGATCATGGCCTCCCAGAGTTCTCCCTCCCTCCCTGTCTGAACGAGATTGACTTTAGGCCCTGAACATGGGCACTCCATAATCAGGGAGGACCATTTCTGGGCAGCCTAGCCTGGCCTGGTCCAGGAGGAGTAACAGCATCTGGCTTTAGAAGGTTTGGACAGCTTCAGCTTAGGAAGTCATTTCACTGGCTGTAAGGAGACACCTAAACACCCATACTCATCATTTTGAAAATGTGTTCTTTGAAGAATTAGTGATGGCTTCCCAGCACCATTCTGCTGCAATAAAATGTCCTGTTGGGTGTTGAGCCCCTGGTTCTGCCTCAAAGAGGTGGCATTCTGGGGTGCCAGGTTAAAAGGTTCAGTGTCATTTTCCACCCCCACCCCCCCCCGAAGGTGTGGAATAAATAGCAAGGGAAGCTCTCATGGGCCTAGCACAGAAAGACTTTTTGGCCTTCTTCTCCCTTTCCCTACAAGCTTATGAGCCAAATAGTGAAGGTATCATTTGTTCCATTTTACAGAAGAGGAAACTGAGGCTGCAAGAGGGGAGATGGCTTCCTTACAAGGCATCGCCTCCTAGTCCCAATGTGAGCAGCTGAATCTTCTTCTTCTGTACCCACTCCACTGTCTTGATTGCCTCATGATCAAAGTGACAAGAAGAACAACTGGCCTGTCACCCAGGGGATGGAGAACAGAAGAGAGAAGAGTCAGTGGGAATGGACAGAGATGTACTGCCTGCCCCCTAAAGAGACAAAAAGCACTAATGAGAGAAATTCCAATCCAAACAACCTGGAAGCTTCACCTCATGCTTCAGGGCTCTCTCTCCCTGTGTGAGTTAGCACACTCAGCTCAGACCATGATGCTTGGATTAAACTTATCTGGCCAGGGAGGGCACCTCAACTGGCATTGACATAATTCCAGGCCATGCTCCCCCAGCTAGCATAGAGTCCTACTGTGGTGGGCAAACTGCCCAGGCCCCAAATAAGAGAGATGGAAGAAAAGATCCCCATCAGAGGGGCGATGGGAAGAGGGGAGCACAGACACACTGTGGGTGGAGCCAGGACCTGGTCCCTCCATTCTAAAAAGCAATTGGAGAATGCTGTTTATACACACACACACACACACACACACACACACACACACACACACACACACACATATTGATGCTGGGATAGTACTTTGATCCCAAGGAGGTCAAAAAGACAAAGTAAGAATTTTAATTCTAATAGACAGCATTACTTTTCTGGTAAAGCAAAAAAAAAAGTGGAATTGAAAGGAATGCCCATTGGTTGGGGAAAGGCTGAACAAGGTGTAATGTGTAAATCTACTAGATTACTAGAAAGCAAAAACAAGAAAAGAGTGGTTTCTAGGGATGTGTGACTGCCCAGCACACCAGTGCTTCTTAAAAAGATAAGAGACCAAAAGAGTCCCTGGTTGTGAAAAGCACATGGCACATTTTCTCACTCTTCTCCCAGGTGCATCCCACAGCACTCACATTCATTCCCTCTGTGGGAAACAAGGTTCTGTTTACTTCATTCTGTCCTCCAAGTCTTCTCATGCTCCTGCAATTCTTCCTAGCTTTCATTTTTACTTTTTTTTTTCTTTTTTGTTGGGCAATGAGGATTAAGTGTCACACAGCTAGTAAGTGTTATATGTCTGAGGCTGGATTTGAACTCAGGTCTTCCTGAATCCAGGGCCGGTGCTCTATTCACTGCGCCACCTAGCTGCCCCCACTAGCTTTCATTTTTAAAAGAATACTAAGGGCCGCTAGGGGGCGCCATGATTCACAGAGTGCTTGGTCTACAGTCAAGAAAACTCATCTTGCAGAGTTCAAATCTTGCCTCAGGCACCATGGAAAATGACTCAACACCAACAATAAAGAATAGTAACATTCACTTCCATTGGGGTACCACAATTTTGTAAGATTTTTTTTTACATGGCCCTGAAATGCTAGGCCAACTTCAAACCAGCTCAACAGCTCTTCTCC